TTTTGAACTGTGTAACACTAAACTCAACCAACAGTTTTAGAGCCGCGGATGCAGCATCTCTTATGTTGATTCAGAAAACGAGGATCCTTTTAACGTGCACGGTCCCTTTAAGAATCCCATATGTCGAAGTTCACTCGGTAATTTCCGTCCTTACCCAGCCGGTGGTGTCACTCACCAACAGTGGAGACTTCAAACCTATATGAACATATCTTTCTCTACTAAATAGGGTAGGTTTAAAAATATAAATAAATGCTTCTGCGTGAAATTATAGGTGCATGAAAGCAGGCTTAATGTTACGCAAAACGCTCCACACAATGACTGGTTTTTGGATAGAGTGTAAGCGGGCTAGTGGTTTATGTTCGCTAATTTTAGCTACTCCGAGGCTAGCTGACAAGCTACACTGAAGCTAATTTTACTAGCTAGCGTCATTTCTTGGAAAAAAAAAGACTAATATGAAATTTGGGCATCCTTTTTGTCATGAGATAAACATTAAATATCAATATGCACATTTTCGCTGTATATTTATTTTATGTGAAAACTGCTGAAAAATACTATTGTGTCATGAATTTTGTTCTTTGTTTACAAATGTAGCATTTGCATAATGCTGCTGTTGGTTAGCCCTTAAACGTTAAGTAGTAACCTTCGGTAATAGTAATATTTAGAATGAAAAAGGTTACAATATTTGACTAGCTGATGACGAGGTAATACAAGTTAAACAGTAACTGGTGAGGAATTAGATTTTGAAAGCTTTTTGCAGTTTTGTTTTTAACTGTCATAAATAGGTGGAAAGACTTCAAATCAAAGAAAATGTCATAATCTTTTTGCAGGGCGATTTAAGATTAAAATTTAACTTTTGTTTTTGACGTTTTGTTTTCCTTTTGATGACCTTTCCTGTGTAAATACAGACGAATATATATATTTCTATTTATCTCTCAGTGGGAGTATTCTTAGATTTTTACCAGTATAATCATAAAAATAAAACATAACATGTAAAATACATACATGGTCTAGCTGAGACCAAAACACCAGACAGAAGAATTTTGTTTTCCGGTTTTGGAGAAAGCAAAAATGATAAAGCATTCAAATAGAAATTGAGCTTGCCGCAATTTATCATGCGATTAATTGATTTATTGTTTATTGTGACAGACCGTGATATGGGTCACTCTAAGTAGGGTTGCTGTCAGTGATATGATTCATCAATCATATCAAAGATGTGTACAATTGTTATTTAAACTGCTAGAGCTCACATTCTGTTTGATATCGGACATTTACAACATTTAACCAGTTACATGAATTCCTTTTAATAACTGAAGACAACATTTTAATCTCAACATCCACATGAGCCCACTATGAATATATCAGCCACATAGCTGAGGTGGATGTATGCCGCTCCCCCAGCTGAATATGAGCGGCTTATCAAGTGTATGTGCTGGTAGATTCTCCACTTGAAATGTTGTGTAACTCCACCTACCTCACTTCAAACCACTTGACTGTCCAATTCCGAAGTAGCATTGGGTCAGTTTCTCAAATTAGCATCAACATAGTAATGAAAAAAAAAAATCAACTTTGTTTTCATAATTTCTTCAATTTTAGACATCAGAGAAGTTCCTGTGCTGTTGTTTCGATGGTCAGCCATGGATGAAGACGACAGCCAAGATGAGCTGATTAACCGCAGTTCATCTCACAGCAAAGGAAAAAGAGCTGCTTTATGGGCCATCTCAGGTGAGTTCTTTAAATGAGTTTAACTTCAATTCATTTAATATTCCTTGAGGTTTTATATCTATTATTACTTCTTTAATTGAACTATCTCTATATGCATTATAGATGACTCAGATGATCTCAACGAGGAATCTGAAGAGGAAGACTCTGATAGTGGTGATGACGAAGAAGAACATACTGCAAACGGAGAAGACGATGAGGAGGAAGATAGTGAGGAAGAGGATGGTAATGGACACAGTGCTTGATCTTCTCTGTGGATATGGATGAGCTTTATGGCACGGCATACACACCCATGGTGTTTGAGGATTTTTCTTTCTGCTCAAGTTATTCCGTTGTATCCTCTGTTAATACAGTTTTTGCTATGCTGTAAAAAAAGAATGTTGTTCTTTTTTTCTAGATAATGAAGAGGAGGAAGATGCTAAGTCAGGGAAAGGAACCTTTGGGGGAAGTTCTGCTGACTTTGCAGAGATGAGCTCAGATGAGGACAGAGAAAAGTGTCCCATCTGCCTGAACTCATTCAGTAGCCAACCTGTTGCAACACCAGAGAACTGTGAGCACTACTTCTGTTTTGACTGCATCCTAGAATGGGCTAAGGTGAGTCTGAATTGGTTTCAACTCAGAGATAGAAAAAAAAGCATGCTAAAGAACATGACGTTTTAAAAATTAATTCACTCCCCCATTTAGAATGCAAACTCATGTCCTGTGGACCGCATTGTCTTTGACAACATATATCTGAGGAAATCTTATGGAGGAAAAGTAAAGAAAATTGTGAGTATGGCTCCTTGTACACAAACTTTGAAGAGTTAAATGACTGAGTATGATGTGGGCTAATTCCGTAAAGTGTGTGATCAGGTCACTGTTCAGAAGCCTGTGAAGGCAGGTCAGGAGGAAACGGTAGGCTTGGACCTGGAGGAGACCAACTGTGAGGTGTGTGGGGGCAGTGACCGTGAGGACCGACTTTTGCTCTGCGACGGCTGTGATGCGGGGTGAGATGAGGTTTTTACTGAAGCATAGAGTGTTCTCAGCTGGTTTTCATCTGCCCCTTTTAAAAATGAATTGTTAAGAGAGTTAAGTCTTACCTGTGTCCTAGGTATCACATGGAGTGCCTCACGCCTCCTCTTGATGCTGTTCCTGTTGAGGAATGGTTTTGTCCTGAGTGTGAGGCCAACAATCGCCAGTCAAGTAAGCCTTTAAGTTACCTCATGGTCACTTATTTTGCAAAAAGCAATTATAGCAGTTTGTGGAAATGCATACACCTTCCATAATTTCTTACTTTACTAGGAATAAGGGAAGTGATATATATTAGTCTTATACATCAGTCTGGGAATAGTTACAAGGCAAATTTTAAGGCTTTTGGGGCTTCAGAGAACCACAGTGAGAGCCATTATCCACCAGTGGTGGAAACATGGAACAGTGGTGAACTTTACCAGGAGTGGACGGCCGACCACAATTTCCTCAATTGATATTGGAGTAATGACAACTGGGGTAATTACCTGACTTTGACAGATGAGGTAAAGGCCTGATCTGGACTTTGACCTAGATCTGGACCTAGTCAAGTCATGCTTGACTAAGCAAGACCTTAAAAAGGCTGTTCATATACGAAAATCTACCAATGTGGTTGAATTAGAAAAAAAATTTCTAAAGATGAATGGGCCAAAATGATGGATATGTAGAAATTGGTGGAGGATCTGTCAGGGCTTGTCAGGGCTTATAGTGTTGCGATTTGTTTGAAATATCAGGAGATGCAAATCTGGGTCCTCTTTAATATTCTCTGATTTTACCCTTCAAGGTAGGAATAGACCTGCTATTCCTCCCTGATTGTGAAAGATGCTGTAAAATTGATATAGCACTTTGGGGGGAGGACATTTATATAACTTTAAAGCAGAAATATAGAGAATTTCCACATTTGATTATAATTATAATTTATAATAGAACACATTTTTAATTTCCATTGGTATGTTGAACAACATGACAGAGTTTGAAAGAAGGAAAAATTGTGAAGAGAGTTCATCAGTCTCTGTAAATGTGTGTTTTTTTTAGGAGGTTCAGCTGAGGAGATCAGTGACACAGACAGCCTTTTCTCTACTCCCCGTCCGGCTACCAGTAGGTCTCGAACTCACACCGCTGGTCCCACCAGGGCTATCGCCCGAACGCAACAGAGTGAGAGAGTTCGAGCCAACGTCAACCGACATCGCATAACCCAGGCACGCACGTCGCAGGTTTGGCATGACGCTTTTGTCTTGGCAAATATTCTAACCCCTGCAAAGCATTTGTGTGGTGTTAAACTGTAATGCACTTGTTGTGCTCTCATCTGGTTGAAACTAACTGGCGACTCCAGCTTAGTAAGTTCTGTGTTTGGATAAGATTCAATTAAAACATTTAAAGTTTAGTGCATGTACTGAAATTGGTTTTTGCACGACATCAGGCTTTGAAAGCATCGCAGCAGAGTAATGCAAACACACCTTTTGCAGTTGGCTCCAACATATCTGATTCAGTCGACTTGGCTAGATGAAACCATTAATGCCGTGGTTGCTGGACTCAACACCGCTGTGTATGTACGGGACATCACTCCTCGGGCGCCATCGAGTCGGAGACGCAAAACTGGTAAGTAAGTCAGTAAAGTCTCCAAGTGTCCAAGTCAATCAAGTCAGCAAAGTAGGCAAAATTTGAAGAAGAAAAGGTGTTGGACAGTTTTTTTGTTGTCATTGGTCGTAGACAATGATGAGCTTTGTTTGATTTGATAGGAAAACGTAGAAAGGTGAGAAGAAAGAAGACATCTACTAAGGGGAAAAATTGTCAAGCAGAAAAAACAGGAGTCAAAAGGAGAAAACGAAGAGCAAGGAAGAGCAAATCTAGGAAAAAAGCTGTAAGTGTTTCAACATCGGTATTGATTTGTTTCTCTTCATTTATAAAGCATAAGTAAAATTATTTCCCATGTCGACAATGTTTGATGTCTTTTTCTGAAGTTATATATGTTTTTTTCCCCATTAGATTGAAAGAAAGACAGCCACTCCAAGAAGCCGTATTGCCAATAATCTAGGAATTGTAAAGGATAAGAAGAGCTCTTCACTTCCAACAGTATACCGACCATCAGAGAACACTTTGAGTAGCATGCGTGCCGACATTGGAGCCGCATCACTCTCCATCTATGGAGATCCATTTGATCTGGACCCATTTGTTGACCAGTAAGAAGACATAGTACTGTTTTATCATGTAAAATGCTTTCTGTTTACTTGACAGTGCTAGGACTTGTTGTTACACAGCACACATGTGATGAGGCATTTTGGTTTAATACGTATATCATAATAATTTTGATGTATGGTCTTCGTTTGACCAGTGAAGAGGTTGAAGAGCAAGCCCAGGTTACATCGCTGTTGGAGGCAAAAAGGCGAGGGATCTCTCGGTCTGCTCTTCGCTCTCATCAGCCTGTGGCTCGTCCAGTCACTGCAGGCCTCTCCAGGTAGCACACAGTTTTTGTCTTTCGTAACTTTGAATTTTAGAGGTAACTCTGCATCTGCAGTTCCAGTTTAGTCCTCGGAAAAACACATTTCTATTCCTTTTGAGATGTGTTTTCTTTTGCTTGTTGTGAATGTGCTCCTTTGGCTTATCCTGTCAGTAGGTGGCAGTAGAACACCAAACTTAGCTAGACAAAACCCACAAATGGATATGCACTGATTTAAAATAAAAATACATTTTTACATTTTTTGTTGATTTTAATCAATGACCTAAGTTTAAGCCACAGTTTTAGATCGATTCATCTTATTCTAATCTAAGCTTCCTGGGCTGGAATTGATTTAGGTTCAGGTGCCTACTGCTGTTAGGACATTACCAAATCAGAATCCAGCTTCAGTGTTTTGTTATTTTATGACTGTTGACTATACAGATGATAAAAACAAAGAGCATTTCTGGTAAAAAATGGTTCTCAAAAACTGAGAAAACTATGAAATTTTGAATGGGAAAATTGATAGAAACACTGTAAAGTGGGAGGAGGTTGATCCGAGACACACAAAATAAGGTTTTTAAAAAAATATGTGTAACTATTACAATTTTTCGGCCGTTGGTCATTTCAATATGGATTTATCTGTATTTCTAATTGAATCTTATTTGTGGCGCTCTGCTAGGAGAGGTGTGAACGTCCCTCACTCTGCGGGTGTTGTGGAGGCTGCTCCTGTCCCTGATCTACTGGGAACCATCCTGTCTGGACAGAGCATGCTCCTGATGGACAGTTCTGATGTTGTCATTAGTCGAGATGGTTCTCTTAAAGCTTCAAAGCCAAGTAAGCGTGTCTTGCATGTTTCTAAAAACAGCAAAAATATAAATGCATTCTACCTGTTTATTTTGTAAAATATTTTCATCAAGACATATTTGAAAAGTATTTTCACAGTTTTTGTTTTCCACACAAGTTGGCCTGTCATGATAACAAATTTTGCTGGACGATAAATTGCGGCAGACGTTATTGCGATAAATGATAATATGGTTGTTTTGAGACCATTTATAAGTAGTACAACGGTAATGGCAAAATAAAAATGCAAGAAGATATTTTCAAAGATCAGTAAACTTTAAATTCTAATGAACATTTAACACTAGAACTGGAAGACATGTTAAATATCCAAGATAAATAAATCAAACAAAAAATAAAATGAATTTTGAAGTCTTTCTAAACAAAATTGTCCTTCAGAATAAGTGTTAGTTGAGACCAAAGCACCAAACTGAAGACTTTTATCATCCAGTTCTTGGTAGAAAGAGAGAAAAATGGAAATTATTGAATTTGCTTTAATCATGCGATTAATTGATTTATTGATTATTGTGACAGGCCTACACACAAACTAACATTTTAATACTAATGTGTTGTTTTCAGAGTTCAGATTAGGTTTTCATAAATCATTGGAGAAATATGCAGGCATAGTTTTAAACCTTTTCTGCTGTATATGGAATCCTCTGTCTTCCTAAAGTCTCCATATATTACAGCCAAGTACCTCCAGAATCCAACAGTGATAAAAAAATTCCTGAAACACTTGCCTCCATTTCTCTAACCAGCTGCCAGGCTATGTGTTCTACATTGACCATTGAAAATAGTTCACAAAACCCACGTTCTAAATTTGCCACTCAGCGTTCTGCAACATCGGCAGCATTTCTATTGCTATACACAGATGTTATCAATGCTGGATCTAAAATTGACACAGAACTAGACATGTAATTTTTTTAAAATTTTATGCTACTTTTTTGTTCATGTTGATGATGTCTGAATTCTGCAAGTGGCTTATTATGTTCTTGGGTGTCATCATCTTGTACAGATCTTTGGAATGTGGGTATGCGTTTATCTATTTGACAGATTCTGGTACTTTTTGTCTGAACTTAGCAGATCATTGATTTGCAGACAGAATAAAAATGATTTACTGGCTTCAATTCTGCATTTCCTGGAGCTTTCAGGATTAATTCATAAAACAGATTAGTTTTTCTTTGGAATGTCACTCCTGACTAAAACAAGAACATTTACCTATATTTCCAGTTCTGTCTTATTATATTTGACAATCTAAAATAAGAGCCTTCTTATATTTATTGCTGCAGTCAAAACACACCTAACAGCTATTTTGTGTTTTGATGTGTTTTAATTTTTTGTTGACCTTTTGATTTCTTTTTGTGGATTAGAGGAAAGAGGAAAATGTGTTATTTAGATTATTCAACAAATGAACGATTACACAGCCTTTGTGTTTGCCTATTGCACAAAATTGGTGAAGTTAATCACATTTAATCAAACATGACAATGTTTAATGATGTGCCTAAAATAACTTTTATTTTTGTCTTTAACCATCACAAAGAAACCCCGTCTTAAGTTTATGTTTTTATGTTCAAAAAACATAAACCATGTGTTTTTTTTTTTTGTTTTTTTTGTAAATATTTTCTTTTGCAGTGATCCAACCTACACCAAGCAGCAGGAACACCAGTAGTTCAAGTGATATCAGCGCCCTCAACAGTCCAGGGTGTTCGTACAATTTAGGAGACAACTCTGTATCTCTGCACCACAATGGGAGTCCATTAGGATCCTCACCTACCTCTGTGAATGGACTGTTGACACCAAGCTCATCTCATTTACCCTCCTTCATGCCCCCCTCTGCCAACCACTACCAACCGAGACCACATTCTGACTTAACCCCTGGAGTGAATCCAAGTTTGCCTCCTCGTGCAAACCGACCAGTAGCAGCCAATGGTATGAGAGCCCTAACAGAAACGCCTTCTTCATCTGCTCACCCCATCCAGGTTTCCAACTTTAGGGACAAAGGAACAACTCTGTCGCTGTCGCAACCTAAGAAAGCTCCCGTTAAACCCACGTGGGTAGATGTGTCTGTGCTTCCTCGCATACCGAAGATAAAAAGAGAGAACAGCAGTGTCACAAATGACAGTGCAGGTCATGGTGTCATTTCTGACAGTAGTAGAGGGAGTAGTAATTATGCTGGAGCTGACGATGGTTCTGGGTTGCCTAAAAGTGGCATGAACAGCCTTTCTGGGGACAAAGGAAGGCAACAGAGTGTTGATAAGCAGAAGGGCCACTCTGATGGCCATAAGAACAGGCCGGAAAGAGCCGGCTCATCATCGGCATTCTCAAATTCCTTTGCTTCCTCTTCCTCCACCACTCCTGCAAGCCAGACTCAGCATGCGTCATTTTCTTCATCTTCGTCTGTAAGTTTTCGCATCAATTCCAGTGGGAACTCCTGGCATGCCAGGCGGCTCAGCATAACGTCGTCCTCTTCATCCGGAAGCAACATAAAAGAACAGTGGAGGGAAAAAGAAGAGGAAGCAAAAAAGAAGCAAATGCACAAAGACAAGAAAACACTTCTGGCATCTTGTACAGTCACCAAGGAACAAGACAATATTTACGATCCTTTTAATCCCACGCTGTCTGATTCAAGTAGCTTGAGCGACGAAGATGAGCCCACAAGCCTGAACTTCAGCTCTCAACTTGGCACTAACAGAGGGAAACCTTCTACTTTAGGAAGGAACAAGGGTTCAGTGCCAAGACGTTGGGATGCAGTTCAGGTGAAAACTGAATCAGAGGAGACAGAGTTTTCACAGGAAATACCCAGGAGCTCGCAGCTTACTGTAACACCAGAAATAATATTTCCCGCAGATAGTATCAAAGTTGAAAAGAAATCTGATTTAGCCGAAGTTAAGCAGGAGAAGCAAAAGTTATTTATTGATACCATCATTAAAACAGAACCAAGTTCAGATGAATATGAAAGTTCTGATGACAGGGTTGTAAGTGAGAGTGAGGTAAAAAGTGAGAGTGCAGACACCACATCACTTTCTTATCAGCATGTTAAACACATAAAAGCGGAGGAAAATACTCAGCAGAACACTGGACTTTCTGCCGAAACTTCCAGTAGATCTCTTCTCAACTACAGGAATGATTCATCACCTTCCTGCTCGGGTTCCATCTCAAAGAAACAGAGGGAAGAGACTAAATCGGATGATTCACCAACCTGTTCCAGTACACTGACGGGAGACTTGGGCCATAGGAAGCAGACCTCTAAAATGTCAAAGGATCAACATCCCAGTAGCTCAGAGACAGACGGAGGCAGAAGAGAAGACCCTCACGCCTCGGATAAGGAAGGCAAAAAGAAGGAAAGGGAAAAAGGCAGAGAGAAAGACAGGAGCTCAAGGCGATCAAGGTCAAGAGAAAGAAGGAGAGCACACTCAACCTCTGACAGCTCCCAGCCCAACTCACCAGACAGAGCTTACAGGAAGAGGCGGCGGTCCCGATCGCGGTCCAGAGACAAGACAAGGAGGCGATCCAGGTGAGTGGAAAGCTGTTCAAGCTGTAGAGCACAGTGGCTGTCAAAAGTGAAGATGTTGCTGTTTCAAACTTTTGTGATACAAAATAAATTTGTACACCATGATAAATCACTTTAAAACTTTCCACATGAAATATTTGACAGTTATTATAAATAAATGTAAGTATACATTTGTCTGAATGACAAAAAAATAATATTCAGCTAAGAATAAAAAAACAAAACAAAATCAGACATTAAATTTGACTTCAGTCATAAGTAATAAGATACATATTAAGTTGGTTTTAATTATTATCAAATTGAAATAAGAAACACAAATTTGCTCAATTATTTGATGATATAATTTATCTCGCTCTCATTTTTAACATCACAAACACCGGGCATTATAACAGGGCACTGGTACATATTCGAAAGCCACTGGTGAGCTTTTGTTTGATCACTTTTTGTGTTTTAAATCTGTTATACATCACATGGGGATTTTGTCATTTTGTTCCGTAGATCTTGTTCGAGTTCTAGCAGCAGAGAGCGCTCAAAAATGAAGAAGAATAAAGGTAAGGAGCGAAATGAACACACAGAGAGAAGCAGAGTGTCCAAGGACAGGAGACGTGGTCGATCACGTTCCAAGTCAAGGTCCAAGTCACGGTCCAGATCCAGATCGAAGTCTAAGGATCGTAAGCGTCGCTTATCTCGTTCAAGATCTCGGTCTAGATCTAGGGAAAGGAGGAAAGATTGTGCCAGGCAACATACAACAGTCTCATCCAGAGACAAAGTGGATTCCAGAGCTAAAGATGGGAGACAAAGGACTAATACCAGCTCAAGAGAGCGAAGGAAAGATGAAGGATCGACCAGAAGTACAGACAAAACTTCAGCTTCACATGTTTCATCCTCGAAAGGAACAAATCTCCCACAGGAAAGAAAAAAGGAGAAGGAACTTGCACAAAGAAGCATAGAGAAGAACAAATGTGCTCGAGTGAAAAAACAAGAGTTGCCTTCCTGTTCTTTTGTTTCTCAGGTAAAAGATGAAGACAAAAACTTTGAAAGAAGAGATATCCCAGCTATAGAAATCCCAGTAGAATTAAAAAATAGAAAGGAAATCAAAAAAGAAAAACCGCAACCTGTGGATATGTTTGAAGATTGTCCTATTGGTAAAGAAATTAAAAGTGAAGGAAAGGATAAACCTTCCTCGTCAGTGTCCCAGAACGATGATGAGATAATGGAGGATCAGAACAAGACAGAGTTGTATGAAACAACCCTAATCAAATCTGAGGCAAGTCCCACACAGGACTGCCCCTCACAGCCTGCCTCCTCACCTCCTACCCTGTCCACTGAAGACCCCCTCCATGACTCAGTATGTCAGTTTCAGCTAAGCTCATTAGAGTCTGACAAACAACAAAACACAGCTGGGGCGGCGGACCCTATAAAACCGGAACCTCCAGAGTCTGACGATGATTTTAATGTGGATGTAATGCTGGACAATCTCGATCACGTCAAATCGGAGCCTGGAGAGGGTAGCGGTGCACGCGCTGAAGAGGAGAAAGAAGCTGTGGAGGAGAAGGAAGAGGGGGAGCCGACGTCAGCAGCAGCGGGATCAAAGTCCAAGACTCAAGTGAAGCGCGTCACCTGGAACATACAGGAGCCAGAGGGGCCTCAGCCAGAGAAATCTCCAAGCAGTAAGTGTTGGCATCAGATTCTTTCACTTCATTTTCATTCATATTTTTTATAATGTGAGTGAAAGTTTAGAGATTTGTTCTCTATTTCAATTTTCGGCCTCATGTTTGTTTTACTTCCACAGAGCTAGCGCTGTATAAGTTGAAGCTGAAGCAGGAAGGATCTCGCAAACCCCCTTTGCCTGTCCAGGCATCCACTCAGGTCAGAACGAGCTGTTTCATAGCGTTTGTTTGCTTTTCAGCATGCATTTTATTAAAAGTGTGTGCAATGTAATTTTAGTGATGGCATGCAGGTGGCAGTGTGTACCTCAAGGCTGACTCTGGAAAAAGTCACATGGCTGAAACTGAAACTGATTCTGAAGCATTTTCAGATGAAACAAAACTAGATCTTTGTCTCTACAAACCTTTCACCACTGATTTAAAACACTGCTGTTATGGTCTTGTTTTGATGCTTGTTAATGAATGTCAGATTGTGTCCCCACACATGATAAATAATTTGTACAAATACACAATGTCTTTACACTATAAAGTAACAATAGAAACAGCAAATTCAGACCATCTGTACAAAAATTATCCTGCAATGCAAAGGTATGTTCTCTTAAAACAAATGTTACTATGAAGTTCAATTAAGTGCAAATTGCTTACAAACCTCCTGGCCATTGTAATAAAGTTATTAACATTCTTAAAGTCAGTAATATCTGTCAATCTATAAAAGATTATAAAACCACTTCAATAGCCTTAGGTTTTATTATTATTATTCTATTCTTGGGTTCTATTATCCATTATATTATAATGGATAATAGAACGTCTACAAAGTGTTTGCCTCTTTTCTAATTTGCAATTTAGTTGCACAATTGTCACATCTCAGTATTTCAGAACATCAAACCAATTTAAATATTAGCCAAAGACAACACAAGTAAAGATCAAATGCAGTTTTCAAATGGAAACAAAATAAATAAAAACCTACACAGTCCTGTGTGAGAGAGATTTCAACCAACACCTAATAATTTGCTGAGCCACCATTAGCAGCAATAACAGATATCAATAGCTTGCAAAGAGTCTTTAGCAGCGCTGTGGAGGAAATTTGGCCGATTGCAGAATTATTCCAATGCAGCTGTAATGACCATAATGTCTCCATTACGGTTCATTGTAGTCGTGAATATTGACAGGACCCTGGGCTGCCATCGTTGCTCCAGTGATGTTGTTTGCAGCTACAGCAATGGAAAATCTCCAAGTTATGAGTTTGATGAACTCAAATAAACCCAAATATTATTGTTGGTCCAAACATAATGAAAACAGTCTAGATTAGCAGATGATTTTTGCTTTGCACAAAAAATGTAAACCAATATCCACTTATGAACTTTATTTAAAAGAAAATTATAATCGCAGAATACAATGCATAACACACCAGACTAATATGTAGATCCGATGTAAACCGATCAGCACTAAACTTTAACTCTGACAGAGTTGGAGCTGAATCATTTCTCCTTCGTTGCTGCCTGTTCCCCAGACAGACGAGCGTCTTACAGAGCTATAAGATCATGGTCATTCCCCTCCCAAAGTTCATTCATGTGTTCCAGACGCTTCTTGTGATTAAACTCCCATCCTGTGGGATGACTGCAAACAGGCCGTTCATGCTCAAATCCTCCCCTTTTGATGAATTCAAACAGTTGTGTAAAGAACAAAGGGGCAAAGCAATACTACTACAAACTCTTGATGGCACTAATTTCCACCAAGTATTTGAGCAACACAAGGAGTTGCTGTGTTTAGTTTGGCAGGAATCATTTTTCACTGTAATGCAGGAGGCTTTAGATAGCAGTTTGTCTTTATAAATAAAATCATCGTTGAAAACCATTTTGTATTTTGTACATATTATTGACTGACGCTAAAAGGCATTTGATCTGAGACATTTAGATGCACCAAAAAAAAAAACAAAAAAAACCCCAGAAGGAACATATAAGGGGGAATAACTTTGAATGGTTCTGTGCAGGACTTTCCTTTTTGATTTTGCATATTAGGTTAAATTAATAATTCATACTTTTACAGAGCACTGTGTGTGACTCCTCAAAGAAAAGTGTTGCTGGTTTACTGACTGCTAATTCCAGCTCGGGAGGCCTCAACCCTGCGGAGTTACCAACCACTGAGCAAAGAGAACCAGAAGAAGGGGATTTGTCAAGGAAAGACAAGGTGAAAATGGCATTTATTCATTTTAGCTCTCAAATAAGGTTATTAAAGAGACATACAATTTTTTTATTCACTTTGATTTTTTTTGTCCTTGTTAAGCACATTTACTTTAACTTTTTTTCTCAACATAATTTTATTAAGTTTGTTTTCTATTAAAAAAATGCAAAAAAAAGAAAAAAAACACCTGACCCAGCTAGCAAAAATGAGCAAAAAATTTACTGTACAAGGAAGTTAAGACATTTCTTCTTCCTGATGCCGATCACTACTGAGCTGGATGTGTCCCGTTGGTGCAACAGGCACTTCACTGAGTCAAAGAATTGAATGATACTATTTAGATTGTGATCAGTAGCTCAAGGAGCTGATATTACCAGCCTAGTAAACTGAAATAAATCTAAAAACGTCTGAGGATTAGGTTGTAACATGAGCAATGCTTTATTCCTACCAGCAGTATCTGAAAAAGCTGCACATGCAGGAGAGAGCTGTTGAAGAAGTGAAGTTAGCCATCAAGCCTTTTTATCAAAGGAGAGACATCAACAAAGACGAGTACAAAGAGATTCTGCGTAAAGCTGTTCAAAAGGTGAGTCAAAGATAAATGTAAAACTCCTTTTGAAAAAATACTTTGTAATTCAATATAATTAACTCTAGTTTTTTTTTAAGGGATTCTTATACAATTATCTTTTATTTCTGGTCACCAGGTGTGCCACAGCAAAAGTGGGGAAATCAACCCAGTGAAAGTGGGAAATCTGATCAAGGCGTATGTGGAAAAATACAAACATGCAAGGAAACATAAAAAAGGAGACGATTCAGCAAAGGTACCTGAGGATCAGAGTGAGCCAATAAAATTATCTGACAGTCCATAAGGAACCATAAACGCTCATGGACACTCACATCCCCAGCTTTGTGTTCTATATCTCAAGCAACCCCAAAAGAGTAAACTGAAATGAATACTCAGTTATGGAATAGTTTCTTAAATGTTTGCTTAATGTATGTATTACGTTCTTTAAAGGTGACTTGAATTAACTTGAATTACCCATTTGGGTCTTCATCTTGGGTCGTCTCTGACTGCAAGTGATTTTGTGTTGTGCAGCTGAGAAACATTAAAATGGAACATTATTCAGTTTTGCCTTTAAGAGGCAAAACTTCAAGACCATCCCATGGAAATATAAATCAGGTAGCCTTCTCCTTAATCTGCCATTTCACTCTGAGGATCCAGAGTTTTTTTTTGGCTTCATGTTGTCTATGGGTGTTGTTTTTTTTTTCTATACAGAAAATGAGTTATTTATAAGTGGCAAAGCTAAATGTCTATCTTCAAGTGGTGAAATTATGCAGCTAGTGCATATTCATGACATTTGTCATATTACGGAAAGACACTAATATGCAATTTTGTAGAAGATTAAATGACCTGAATCTCGAAAGGATTTGAGATTCAGTTGTAAATAGTTGAGTTTTGATATAAATACCCAAGGGATTCTTCCATCCGTTTTACCTGTTGTGAATAATTGCCGTCTTTGAATGTTTTCTTTTTTTCTTTTTTAAATAGAGGATATTTATGTTTTGTAATTGAAAGCCGGTGTTGTGTCTTCCACGTCTAACTCTACTAAATGTAGTTGAATCAAGGAAAACTGTATACAAGGTTTGTAACATTTGTTCATTTTTTATTTTTGGTGGGTTTGGAGGCCGTAGAGGGTAGCACCAGGTTTACGGTTTGTTTCAGTCCGTAACAGAAATATAGGAAATCAGTTTTTAGAGTCAGTTTTTTTTGTCATCAGTTGTAATAAAAAGAACAATTTCTTTGAATAAACAATACTTCATTTGTCTATTTATTTTAATTTTTAACTAGTTCACAGCATTTTCACAGGGCATAGTATGGATGTAATAGTTAGAGCGACTATTTCAACCTAACGTTTCTTTCTACATGTTTGTCCACTTTTTATCTAAGCCTACTGCTTTCATGTCTTGTATTTCCTTTAATATCTTTGTTTCATTTGGAGCTGTTTGTGCTCTGTGTTCAGTAATTATTGACTAAGTTTATTGGCATTGATGTATTTGTTGGTGAGGTCAGCTTATACACCTTCGCACATGTTGTAAATATTTGTCACTAGAGGTGCAGCTGAAGTACACATGCCTTTTGCTAGCAACATTAAGGTTTTAACCCTCCTGCAGCAGATAAAGGCTTACTGCATTTGTTCTACACTTAGTTTATCTCAGTCTTAACTTTGCTTTTTCTTTTTAAAATATTCACAGCAAAACACATTTTGAATTGTTGCATCTACTGTTCATTACTTGCTTACTGTAAAGGTTTACTGGCTGGGTTGTTGGACTTTGTTTTTACAACCTGTGTATATAGGCTTCATAAAGCCAGGGACCGGGAGTATGGAAGATGCTAAAAGAAAAGGTGCTCCTCCTTATCTGAATGTTTTTGATTTCAGGCTGTGTGATTTTCAAATGGGACACAAATAAAACTGTGTAATTTAATTAATTGCCATTTTTTTTTCTTTTTTTTTTTTTCTTCATTTTAAGTTCCAGTACCTGCTCACAGTGCATGCCATGTTATTACTGCTGGTCATATTATTGTGGTCTGAAGCAGTACTATCAGAAGATGCCAACACTTTGTCCCATTTTATATTTTGCTCCTCATTCTTAGAGCGAGGGGTAGGGCATCCTAAGTGCTTCTGTGGTGCAGAGTGGCTTTCTATCCCTTAAAAAACACCTACATTTGCAAATGAATCTATAAAGGTTAATATTTATCCAGTTTGCACATTTTTACTGGCATAACCACCGTTTTACAGTGTAGATTCAACTACTGTGATATATAGAGTTATATAGCTTAAAATTCATTTTAAACTATGAAGGAAAAGACCAAAAGTTGCATCTGAACCAAAGACTCAGAGCCATCTTTGGTCTATCAGAATCAGTACCTGAACTGAACCAGTACCACATCTGAACAAGATAAAGTGACCTCACTACGTCAGATACAGGTCTTCCTGTTGCTCTGGTGTTTTCCTCACCTCAGTCTCTCTCAACTTCAGAGATGGTCGAGTCTCTAGACAAAACGTTTTTGACCTGCCAAATGCAGGAGCAGAGGCACAAAATCCTGCTCAAACTTTACACAAAAACAGATTAACATTAGATTGTAGATGCAAGCAACAAAAACACTTAAATGAATTTTGAAAGTTTGAACATCATTTCCTGGCCTATGATGGCCACATTTTTTTTTTTTTTTTTTTTTTTTTTTTTTTGAGTGTTTCTATGAACTTTTGTTTATGTCCACAATCTCAGCTCCTTGTAAAAGAGTCATTCTGGGATATTATGTTTGACACCCACAGAAAGATTAATGATTCTTAATTAGTTTTATACACTCCTTTAAGACATTAGAGAGACTCCTCTGAAGTTCCAAAAATATCCTATGTCTATTAACTTTAGTCATAACTGAACAGTTAATCTCTGGAACTTCTCTCCCCTCACTTCAGGACGTCTACATCATCTGGGTCACGAAGACAGAGAGCTAAAAACATCGTCAGAACCAGAACTCTCACACAACACCCCTTGCTCTCACTTCTGCCTTCTGGCAGGCATTACAGAAGTGTGAAAGCAACAACTGACAGATTGAAAAACAACTTTTATCTCCAGGCCATCAGGCTTTTCAATGCTTTGTTCTTTAAGGTTTTTGGTAGTTGTTAATGCATGCAACTATTTTTATTTATTTTTTTTTTTGTGTGTGACTTTTTTGAAGTTGTGTTGAAGGGAGTTTGTGAAGTACACATTTCATTGTCCAGTTTTTTTTTTCTGGACATAAAAAGTTATTTCTAGAATTATTTTAAGATTGCCCATTTCAACATTTAATTATTTAAAACATGCAAACATTTAGAGTTGAAAATCATTATTGTCAAGTTTGACTGAACTCTATGTACTTTAACAAAGAAAACCACAGATTCTTGGCAGTTTTTTTTATTTTACCATTTGAAAACTTAATATAGTCTCAGTTAAATACAGAAAAAATAATAATCTAATATTTACATTTTACATAGTTTATAAGCTCTGTGGGGTAGAACTGCATTGGAATTGCGTTTAGGCTTATGATTTGCTACTTGTAAGCACTTAAGAGACAAACATTTATCACAGAGGTAATAAAACAGACATGATCATAGCTTATCTAAAAACCAATATAACATTTTTTTCTGAAATTGGACACTGAAAAACAAATTAGCATATATGTAAAAAGATAATCTTAAATGTGCAGTAATTGTGTAAAGGTTTGTTTTGTAACTTTCTGCTTTTGTAGTGGTTTAAGTGTCTTTTTCAATGGTGCAAACAACAAATGAAAAGGAGATGAGCTGTGTTTAATCTTGCCTTAATTGTAAATGGTCAGTTAACTTTCTGCACTTCAACTTACTCAGCAGTTATCATTTGACAAGAGATCAGTGAGAAATCAAGTTTCCAGTCTGATCAATGAAAGGCACACCGATGTTTAGTTGCTCTTCAGCTCCTGGCAGAGAAAACACAGAGCTGATGAGGTCAAAGAGGCTGTTGTGTGAAATCTGCAGGCTGATGCTGGCGCTGTGAAGAGATGAAGCCCCCTCCATCTGGGCCATGTCATGAAAATATCGACAAATTAGAGGCACCACCTGTAGGCGTAAAGGATGAACATTAAATCGCTTTACTGACTGAAGAAGGAGCAAACAAAGTGAGCGGTAAAGTCTTACTTTCACGACGACAAGCTTCTTTTCCAGTGGTTTTCCCTCCGGAAACTTCTCTCCGAAGCACATGTTGATGGTGTATTCGGGAGAGCGGCCATTGTTCTCCTTGAAATGTTTAAGCTCTAAAAACACACACAGGAAGAAGATGGGTTTAAGTAGGTGCTTACTTAATGAAGACCAACAGAAATGAGAAATGTAATTCAAAAGGAATGGAAAGTTCAAACCAACCATTAACATATTTGTCAAAACTGAGGAGCTCCACCACTGTGTTTTTGGGCAATTTTTGGGGGTTTGGATGAGCTACGTTGGGGTCGCTGGTGCTGGCAAACACGTGGCAGTTGTCATGCCTCCTGGCATAGATACCGTTCTCCTGTACCTCCAAGAGCAGGCCTCGCTGGATGCTGCTCAGGATGCGGTTGGTGTATTCAATCTGGGGCACAGAAAGACGTAATCAGAACAACAGATTCTTTATACCACGTTTGTCCTCACTGCGTGTTCTAGCCTTCCCTCATTGAGATTGAAGAAAACCAGGCACATAACACAGATACAAAAGGGAAATTCAAAAGAAACCCTGGCTCTTGCGGTTTTTCAGCAGTTGGAGCTCTTTGAGTTCCTTCAAATCCAGGAATCTTTTTTGCATTTGAAATTTCCTTGATTTCTGTGACTATTACCATTTTAAAACACAGAAGTTCAACACAAAGTATTTGAAGACGCTGTCCAAGGAAAATGTTCTCTTTAACTAATCACATCAAATGTGGCATCCAATTTAAAATGACCAGATTTCCATTCCAGTTTGTCTTGTTTAAAAAAAGTCTGCCTTCGTTTCAAACCAATGCTTAGCAAAACTAAATCAAAACTCTTACACAATGGTTTGAATGAACATTGGACTAATCTTATTTCCTTGTACGTACGAAAGAGTAAAGCGTGGATACAAAATCATGGAAAATTGACTCAGAGCCCATCCAATGTCAGTGAATATAAAGAATTACCTGTTTTTGGTCCAGCAGGCCCTCAGTGGAAGGAAAGCAGAGTTGAGAGGCATTGAACTTGGGGTCCTCACTGTGGTAGTGGAGCTGAAGACGGTTGGTGTGCAGCGTCGTCTTCAGCATTTCCTTCTTCCTGTAATGGATGGAGATCTCCAGATCGTACAGACTGGGCTGCTGAGGTGAACTGAGGACCGGAGAAGCATTTACTGTTTGGAATATGAAGAGATAAAATTAGTAAGGGTCACACTGCAAATGTTTATGCTATTATAAACATTTTTTAGTCTCTTTTATCAAGCATACCTTGATTGTAGGCCATCTGATCGGCTGGTAAATATTGCGGAAGGTTCTCAGTTGCAGTAGGATAACCGAGAACAGGATTATTATGCCGTGTCCACAACTGCTCTTCTGTTTAGAATGAAAGATTGTTTAAGATTGTTTACTTAATCCTCAACACCTCTGACAAATGTAATATTGTCTTTTACATACAAGTTTTACCTGCTGATTGGTTGCCAAGATCCAGGGCCATGAAGTCCTGATGCAGATTGTGCTAAGTGGGGAGAACAAAATATTATGTTACCATTTAAGCACCACCCTGTCTTTGAATATTTAACTTCACAGAAGTGAAAGTGCACTTAAGGTAATCCTGTACCTCATTTCCTGCAGGAAAATACTCAGTGGTTGGGCTGAATATATCTGGAGTCATGTCAGATTCCTCCTGGGAATCTTGCATTGGCAAACCTTCATAGTTGCCTGCAGTTAAAGAAAAAAGACAATCCCGCTGAGTTTTGTCTTAAACAAAGGTTCTCCACATAAAGCTAAGGTCAAATAGCTACTCACTGTCAGTGTTCATAATCTCATAGATTTTATGAGGGTCATCTTGATTCTTGGAATTATCTGTGACCATCTTGAAGCGCTGAGACAGGTTGTTAAGAGCACAGCGGAAGTTGGTTTTCCATCTGGCCTTGTCATTGGGGAACTCGTTGATTTTCCCACTTGCCACTGCCCAGGCCTGTGGACACACACATCCAAAGCATCAGACACAGAGCAGGAATTCTCTTGACATTGTAGATAAAAACAGCTTTTTAAGTCTGGACTTAAAAAGCTGGGCTAAATATGTCAATATATTTACACACATTAATTATACCTTTATCTATCTGTATGTGTATGTACATACATGTATGTGTACGTCTTACTATATAGATACCAGAGTCAAAAAAATACTTAAGCTGCTGAAACATACCCGGAATATTTTACTATCCTCATCGTTGCAGTCTTTCCTGGAGTTGTGCTTCCACGGCACTCTGAATCTGTTTTGATCCACGTAGCACAGCCCCACGTACTGGCCGGTCTCCACTTGCTCGATGAGCCAACTGGCAAACTGAGGCTTGGGTGGACTGTGAGGAAACACGACAGATTCGTATTGTTCAGAGAAGCAACTTAACAAAAGGCGCCAACACATGGAAGTGAGAGAATATGAAGAGAAAGCAATATGCAAGT